CTGGTCTAGGAAAAGGGCAACTCTGAATTCAAAACCTGCAAATAAAATAACAATGGGGAAAAAACATGGTACGTAGGTCTTTGTATTTCGGCAAATTGTCTCTGCACAAAGCCTTGACCACTATAATAAAAATCATATGTGCTGGTGTCTGGCTGTCGGTTCCTAGGAACATAAGAACAGAGCTTCTTGACACTCATACGTCGAATACGACGGGAGAGTTCACCAAGATTTGGAGGGAATTTGCTCAAACAATTTACCTGTCACGAGACAAGACAAATCAAAAACAACAAAAAAAAACAAACAAAAAAGCAAAAAAACAAAAAACAAAAAAACAAAGGGGTCCACAGTAATTTGGTGTCATCCTACAAGGATTCAATATTGTCGAACAATACGTGGTCAATATAAAAATCAGTTGTGGAGCAAGCTTCAAGAATGATTCAACTGTTGAGAATGAGTTATTTATGGTGCAATGGATATCATCTCATTATGCTAAAGCAGGATAGTCCATTGCTTCCAATTTGATTAAACTGCTGGTACCTTTTTGTTTCATGTATTTCTATATAAATACCAGCTTTTATTTCAAAGTTTGCCTGGTTTTGTATTAAGTTACAACCTGCTTTATTGTCTGCCAGCTGGACGCTAGCCCTTAAATTAAGTGTCGTTTATTGTATTGTTATTTACATCTCCTTTAGCCCATCGCGTGTTGGTTTGGCCTTTGGGAGGGATTTGAATCCTTCAAACCTGGCTGGTTGTGTGGAATTATTCTGGACAATGCCAAATTTTTGTCCGTGTTATTGTATACGGCTGATCTCAAGTGTTTGATGGTATTCCATATTTCGAATAAAACATTGTGGCAATGGTGTAGGGATTTGAATTATATATCATAGGTCTTGGAACTGGAATTTCAATGTATCCAGTTTCCTGAGAAATCAATTTCATTTTAATTTTACCTGATCCGTCAACTCTGATTGTTATTGGTTTAAGGATTTCAATTCTGACCTGTTGTGTCCCATCGACGGGTTGTTGGTCTTTGTTGTGCCATGATTTGTCCTTTTTTTCATTCAGGATTCAACTGCTTTCTTTGTATCTTTCTAGACGTTTAAAAGTTCAGATCAAAATTTTGGCAAATCTATTCGCGTGTATTTATATTTGCGATAAAAATCATTTCGTAGTCGGCGAAACAGTAGTTGAGCAATATTTTGCCCAATTGAAATTTGAATTACGTATTCCTGTATTCCAGATTCATCAAAGGCTGCACGGTTTTTATCCAAAAAAACATGTTGCCAACTATTTATTCTTTCTGGTAATTTGAGAATTTTAGCTATGCTCTAAAATTGGATTGTTAAATTTTATGATAACCTTTTTTTAAAAGCCCATTCTTGCAAAAAATGCATTCTTTTTAAAGATGTAAACACGATCACTGCTGATTCCTTAAAGAAAATTGTAGGTTTTTAAATATGTCTCCATTTCAGGTAAAACTATTTTTGAGGCATTATTCTTTAATGGCTCAAAAAAGTTAGATTCAAAATGTTAACCTGTCAAAAAACGACATGGTTTCCAACATGGAAGATGTCCATTACGATTTGCTGAAATGGCAATCAGGAGATGGGTCAAATTGATTATTTTAACATTACTGGGAAATATTACCATTAAACATTCGAAATGACAACCTGTTCATCTCACCAGACGTTGGTCCTTGTGTTCGCATTACCCGCAATAAAAAATTATTCCTCTTACATTCCCAATTTAAAAACATTTTCCTCACTTTAACCTGAAATCAGGTCAATATTGGGAAGATTCATAAATGTTGACGAATTTAGTTTAATGTATATCAAAAAATTTGCAGAGAATATTAACTGTTATAATTGTTATTTTAGGAATTGTTTTATAATTAGTAAGTGTCGTTTATTGTATTGTTATTCTACAATTATTGGTGACCAATCTTAACAACATTCGATATGCAAATGGCAAAATTCCCTAAGCATTTAGTAGATTTTTAATCTAGAGGGTGTCCTAAGAATGTTTTTTAAAAAAAAAAAGAAAGGGACTAAATGTCAATTGTAAAAAACACAATATGGTCAGAAAAAAATAATACTCAACTAGAAATTAGCGACACCCAAATCAAATAAGTGCAAGAATTTAAATATCTAGGAAATGTTTTAACAGACGACGAAAATACGAACATGTAATCCTAAGGGACATTTCAATAGTAAAAGAGGACAATTTCATTAGAAACAAATTGAAATGTTATGTATTATCCATCCTCCTACATAGCAGTGAATGCTGGACAACTGAATGACTTGAAGCAAAAAGGATTCCCCATAGTTATATTTGTTCAAAAAAACCATTTTTTAGATCGAAAAAATCGCCTTCCTAAAGCTAAGCAAAGTATTATGAAACAGCAAAATTTAGGGCGGTTGATAAATATCCTTGCTTCGGCAATTACTAGCCTGTCATTCGATTCCCTGTCTTTCAGTGATGCATTCTCTTTCAAAATAAACCGGTGAATACAAGCGATACCATGGACAGTGCATATGAAAAACGAGGAGGCTTTCAGGAAAATGGGAATCAAAAACAAGCTGATAAGTACAATAATATAGAGGTAACTACAGTTTCTGGGATATATATAAAAAAGAAAGAATGTCTGGTGAATCAAACACTTATTTGAGAATTTTGAAGATAGATAAAATAAATTTAACAGCTGATTAACCTATTTTTCCAAAAATTAGTAATTCCGGCTGAACAAGGGAAAAGGGGTAGAAAAGAGTTTTTTTTCTTCCTAAACCCAGAGACTTTAACATTCCATTTATATATTTTTCTTCAAGAGAAGCAGAGGGAAACAGCAGTAACCTACACAAACGAGTTTGAGTGAATGGATAGCAGAACAAGAACAAAGAAGGAAGGTAAAGGGTCAAAAAGTGACTAAGAGCAACAAGAAAGAGGGCTTGGAGAATTTAAATACTCACAGGACATATTGATGGCAAGAGAAGCAGAGGGAAACAAATCTATAACCTACTTAACGAGTTTGGAATGAATGGATAACAGAACAAGGACAAAGAAGAAAGAAGAATATTGTCAAAAAGTTATCTAAAGCAAATTCTCTCGAATCCATGGAGAATTTAACAATCTCAATTCATATTGAAGGCAAAGGTATACAGAGGGAAAAAGCGTTTCATTTTATGCAGGACCCAGGGATAAAAATTTTTTGTCTGAGAAACAGAAATAAAACGTCACCTGACGGTAACAGTTCAAACTATTAGTTGCTTTTCCTTTTTGTTTTTGCACTGCTACGACATCAAAAATTAGAAATATCCTTCAAGATGGGCAGTTAAGAACCGGGTATTTTGCTTGACTTCATCCATAACCCTTTTAGCGGCTCTTCTTGTTCTCCTTTTGGACTGCTGCTGTTATATGCAGTCAACTCTCCGCATATTTTGAACAGAGCTGCGATAGAAATACAACAGAAGCTCCTTTTGGGGAAAAAAATAGTCGATGCTGCGGCTGTTGCCCCGACTATCGCGACTATCGCGACGGTACAGCTAGTCACGAATAGATTCTCTTTATGCTGTAAAAATAATTTCCCTCTGCACAAAAATGCATTTGGCGTTACTTCGAAATTCCACCCTCCAGCTGCTTCATCTTTAAGCTATTTCAAGCATGATTAGTTTGCCCTTTGACGTATTGTAAACGTTGACAATCTACTCGCTGGTTTAATTACGACTGAATAGTGTTTTTCAGTTCGATCCACACTGGGTGCTATGTACTTGGGGGCTTTTGGTTATATCTAATCTAGGCTTGGTAAGTCACTTAAAGCAAGATTATTCTCTGAGCTACATGCAGCCAATTCTATTTATTTCAGTTCTGTAGCCCGCCTCATCACAATCGTCTGTTCAACTACAGTCGAAACGTCTATAAACTTAATGAACATGTTTGGTGAGATGGAACCGCGCGCATCAAAAGGATTATTGCGGGCCGGTGTAGGCGTTGAGAGATAAACACGTGTGTCTCCTGAAAATGCTCACAACAAACATGGCAAATGTCCGGGAAAAGTCCACGTAAAAAATACTTCATATATATATAAAATACCACTATATATATATATATATATATATATATATATATATATATAAATATAAAATATATATATAGTCAGGCCTGACGATTGCATATAGCATGAAACAGACTGTCGCCTCTAAGTGTTGACTTCTACGTTCACTTTTATATTTACACACACTCTATCTCTGATATCGAGCACTTTATCCTGTAAATATAGCACACCTTAAGACTATATTTCTTCATATATATATATATATATATATATATATATATATATATATATATATATATATATATATATGTGTGTGTGTGTGTGTGTGTGTGTGTGTGTGTGTGTACAAACAAATGATAATGTATTAACAATAAAAGATTACAAGTGACAAAGACAAAGATGTGTGTAACAAATGAATATGTAAAATGCTTTGGTCCAAAGTATGTGAAGCGAGTGAATGCGCGTACGTACGTACGTGTGTGTGTATTGTTCATGCGTTTCCCAAAAGGGAAAGCGCTTTTCCGTGAGAGACTTACATGTTAAAGGATATGATCAGAAGAGGGTGATAAAAAATTATCGCAGAGCATTTATAGTTCCGGAGAGCGTCCCCTAGTAACGGTTTCGAAAATTAAGAGGAGCTAACACGACAGGGTAAATGATGTACAGAAAGATTAATTCGTTTTTAAGGCTTACCAACACTTTGCAGGTCATTTAAAACCAGTAAATATTTTTAGATTCGAAAAACTTTCTTCTTTTTTTTTTTTTTTTTTTAATGGTTTAGTGGTGCAGGTTTAACTAATTAACTTATAGCTGGGGGAGAAAAGACGGATTCAAACCTTTCTCAATGCATATAAGCACGTAAGTGAATATAACGAACCCAAATGGATTTCGAACTTGGCTCTCCGGTTAACAATTCCGAGCCATTATCTATTACACTACCTACAAATCTAAGCTTACAACACCTGGTATTCCCAAGCAGTTACCCATTTAGGTACAGACCATAATCGATGTTGCTTAACTTCAGTGATCATACGGGAACCGATGTTTGAAAGTTATATGGCCGTTAGCCATGTAAGGAAAGGAGAAGCACTCAAAGAAAGCCCATTTTAAACATCGTCTGTGAACGTTTAATATATTTTGATAGTTTTTTTCCCCTTCCGTCTTACGTCATATCCTTCCTTCCTGTTTGTATTTTCTTCGGCACCGTACTTCGTTAAAAGTCAGGAAGAGAAAGTAACAAATACTAAAGAAAAGTACACAAGCCAAAAAAAGTAAAAAAAAAACGTAAAAAAAAAAAGAAATCTAATAAGCTCACTTTTTCATATATTAGGCTACTGCAAGTCGCAATCCTTCAGAGGCCGTCCAAGTCATAGCGTGGATATTGACTTTCAATAGGTCTTCATTTCATTATATCAAACGTCATCTAACAACAATTGCAATTCAGATATCTGTCCGTCTGTTAACCTCTGAAAACGTTGCCTGTAGACCTGACAACCTCTGATGATGTCAGATGCGTTTGCTAATGGATACCTTGGAACGCCGCAGATACCGAAAATTTGATTGATGTGCTTCGTCACGGCGTTACTGGATTGACTTCCGGTCGCGAAATCAGCCGCAGGCGGTGTTTAATGACACCTGACTGCGTTCTGAGTAGGTGTTCAGCGAGTGAGAAACATTGAAAGACGGAGAGAGGGAGAATAAAAGGTATAGAGCTCGAGAATTGGGAAAGAAATGCAGAATGAAACTTACGGGGATAAAGGGGCAGTGGGGGGGGGGGGAGAAAAAGAAAGGGAGAGAGTGAGAGAGAGAGAGAGGAGGAAGGAAAATAAAGAGAGGAAAATAGAAAAAAAAAAACCAGAGAGATAGAAAAGAGAATAAAAAAAGCGAAATATAAAGAAAGAGAAATCAGAAAAAAAGAGAGAGAGAGGAACAAAAAGGGAGGAACACAAAAAAAAAATGGTAGCATGAAAAAAAAAAGGAAGAGAGAGAAAGACAGAGAAAGAAAGGTGGGGAGATCATAAAGAAAACAAAGACAGATTGAAAGAGAGAGGAAGACAAAAAGAGCGAAACACAAATAGAGGGCACACGGAGAGAAAAAGAGAGAAAAAAATGGGATGAAGAATAAAGAGAGATTGAGAGAGAGAAAGAGAGAGAGAAAGAGAGAGGGCCTGGTAAGTACGTAGACGCGTGACCGCTTAGAAATATCAGGTGTTGTATGCTTGGATGGACGGATGGTATAATGCCGGGGTGGCCAAACCGCGGCTCGTGTGCCACCTGTGGCTCTTTGACCTTTAATATGCGGCTTATGTAAATGTGTTGGCTTAGCTTTTTTTTTCATCGCAGTTAATATAAAAGGTAAATAAGAAAAAATTCAATCTTTATAACTATTTACTCGGTATGAACTCTGGCTCCATTATATTAAAATGTAAGTTTTAAAGTGTATGTAACAAAAAACATATTTCAATTCTTAATAATTCTGCTTATTAAATAGTGATGATAATAAAATGCGTTGTCTGTAGTAACTGAGTAATACTAAATAAGAGATATCCCTAAACATAGGACAAGAAGATGTGGAGGGCCATGATCGCCTACGTCTTGAACGGACATGACTTATTTGTGTTTCCAGTGAGTACTGTACTACCTGGTCCAGGGATTGAATTCACAACTACTGTTACCAAGTTTGCAATCTAAAACTTTAAAAGACTAGTCCATCGGTGGTAAAACAGTGGCTCGTGAGCCACATGTGGCTCTTTGACCTTTAATATGCGGCTCATGTAAATGTGTTGTCTTAGCCCCTTTTTTCATCACAGTTAATATAAAAGGTAAATAAGAAAAATTTCAATCTTTATAACTATTGAGTGGGTATTAATTGTGACCCCATGGGATTAAAACGTAAATTTAATGTCTATTGTTAGTAAAAAATATTTAAGAATTGAAATCCTAATGTTAATGCTAGATCTGAGTGAAGTATTATCCTTTAGTGCAGACGCAAGGGATGGTGGAAGGCAGAGGGATTAAAGAAATTTCCGGTCACCAAGGGTTACGGAGGAATGTCAGATGACTGGGGTCATTGATAAGGAGATTAATGATTAATATAATGCCACAAAAGATGCGAAACTGTACTGACTTAGTTAGTACACTTCGGATACAAGTTTTGCTTAAAAGTGTCTGAAAATTTTGCGAAGGGTGATGGCTTCCTCAAATTTTAAGAAACGAAAATATGAACATGAAAACAGAAATTTTAAGCCAGAGTGTGAGGACCTGTCACTGAAGGTGATCTACATATCTCAGCTTATAATTGAGTTCTAGAAAGAAAAAGTCCAGAAATAAATTTATCCTCAATTGAAGAAAAACTACAATGCCTCTCATCTCAATTTTCAGCACACCATACTGGCGTCAATCACTGTATTTTGTAATGAAGTTTAAGAAATCGAAGCCTACACTTGACGGAGCTAATTCGTACAGCCTTGACAACTTATAGTGGTTTATCTTACCATTGTTGTTTAATTCCGACGGAATCACCAAATATGTAATGGCTTTTATATTCCTTGAACGTCGGTGTCAATAATATATGTAGTAATATGTGTTACCAATATTTAACTTTGGCTAAGAAAGATGGGATTCAGGACAATGCGTGAACACAATGCAATTTATACTTGACGTAAATAGCACATAGAATAAAATACAAAACTGAACTGAATGATTCCAAAACATAACAATTAAATTTATTAATGTTTGATGTACATGCATGCGAACTGAAAAGGTAGGACAGAGTTGTGTCCCTTTGATTTGGTAATATTTGTACCGGAGTTCATATTAAGAAGAAGTAATATTGAACTTGTAATTTAGAAGAATAAAGTTTGGAATTGTGAGTTCTAAAGTTGATAAAAGTTCAGGGGTGATTTCAGAGTTCGTGAATATTGGTAATTGTCTTTAACAAATTAGCAAATGACTAAGACGGGAGTTCCTGAAGGTTATATCTTGGCACTTGGTAGCAAGGAATGAGACATACGAGAGAGATGAATGAAAAGAAAAACTCGAGGAAGTTTACACGTGTTGGGTTTATATAATGGCCGTATACCACGTGGGAGGCTCAAACGGAGAAAGCGGGAAAACAGATTGGTCGCGTGCAGGCGATTTGATTGGTCGGAACTGATCAATCAGCAAGCAAGATTGGAGATGATTGACCAATGAATACTTGTTATATTTATGTGAAAGTAGGATTTTACTTAGCAGATAGGAAGAGTGCATTTCCTAAAAAGAGGTAAGGCTGGTGTGTTGTGGAATATCCCACAAACTCATAGCTTAGATGCAGAAACACAAGACCTCCACTTGCAGTAAATAGCGACATTCATAACCTGATATTTGTAGCATTGTCTGTTTGTCATAAAAATATTATGATAAAATTAATTTTGTATGGAAATATCTGATTAAAATATATTTAATTTCATTCGTTTTCTTCATTATTTATATAATTTCTTCCATGTTTTGACCAGAAAACAAATAAATACTAAAAGTATAATTTATTTTGCCTTTTTAATGTTATTTTTGGCAGTTTAATGTGATGTTTCTGAAATGCAAGTTCGCACATTTTTATTAGAAGTTCCTGTAGTTCATTATCGTATTAAATGTGCTCAATAAGGTTAAACCAATTATTAGCCAAAGGCCACAAAGTGACGGATCAGTTTATATATTGACTGTAATATAGAATTGATCCTCCACTTTCAGTCCACATTATAATTTCTTGTTTGTTTATCAAATTCTGATTTGTTATGAAATAACAACTTTCCCTCCAGCTATGGTTTAATTAGTAAGACTTGTATCACTAAATCATTATTATACCCCCAAAAAGAATTCTTACAATATAAAAATATTTTCTGGTTTTAAATAACCTGCAATGGGTTGATAAGCTGTAAAAAACGAATCAACCATTCTTATAAATATATCGCTGACCATTTTTCTTGCATTATTAGCAATGGATCGTATATCTGAGTTAAGGTCAAGAGTGAACTTGAGTCCCAATCGTCAAAATCAGGGATCAGCAACCTTTTGCTGACTATGTGCTGACTTAGGGTTTTAAAATCATTCAGTTTGCCACCAGTATACGTATTTCTATACAAGTCAAGGTCAATATACCTTTCCTACAATATATTTTATATCGTAATATATAGTATATATATTTTTTTATATTTAAAATTGAAATAGCTAAACATTCCATCTTGATAGTGAACCATTTTCCCCAGTTAAATTTGCAGCAATGGATCGTATATCTGAGTTAAGGTCAGAGGTGAACTTGAGTCCTAAAGTCTAAATCAATGATCAGCAACCTTTTGCTAACTATGTCCCAACTTAGGGTTTTAAATCATTCAGTGTGCCAACAGCATACGTAAATTTAATGTCAAGTCAAGGTCAATATACCTGTTCTACAATATATTTTATATCTTAATATATAGTATATATATATACTTTAGTATATATTAAAATTGAAACAGATAAATATCTTCTTTGCGTTGTAGTAGTTATTGGTTCGGACTTCGTGATGTGATTTGCGGCTGTGTGCCATTGGAAATTGCTTGGCGTGCCACGTGTGGCACGCGTGCCGTAGGTAGCCGACCCCTGGTCTAAATAATTGAAAAGCACAAAACGATACTGGAAATGAGCAAAAAAAAAAAAAAAAAAAAAAAATTGCTGGAATTACCGGAAAAATCAGAAAAATAATTTTTGAAAGAAGAGAGGAAAAAAAAGTGAAAATTAATAACATTGTAAATGAATGAAAGACCAGAAAAGAAAGCTTAGGTCCATATCACATTGAATCACTGGTTTATTGTCCGAACCCCGATATTAAGCAACGCCGACCCTGAACAGAAACCTAGGAGGGTGACAGCGTGCAAATAACAGGGGCTGTAAGCTTGTATGTACGTATGGTTTAAAGAGCTCACAGACATATGAAACACTAATCCTTGTATTCCGGCCACCGAAATTAAACAACTTCTAGCCTATTCACTACCTAAATGGGTGACAGCTTTACAATACTGGATGCTATAAGCTTGGATTTGCGGGTGGC